TCAACGTTAGGCTATAAAGTTACTACGTAAAAAATTATATATTAAAAATTTCAAATTAATTAAGAAGAATAATATCTACAGCTCATTAAAAATGTATTTATCTTATAAACCATCATGTCACATCGGTAGAAAAATATGCACCAAAAATTAAACGTCCAGTGAACTCAAATATGCACCATCATCTTATTTAATCACTCTGTTACATATTGATCTTTCGATTTTCATTTTTTGTTCGTCTTAAAATAATCTTCACTTTCCTTTTAAAGAATTTGTGGTTTTTATCATATCTCCTTCCTCGGCACAATTCTCCAACACACAATTAAGTTTTTTAAATCACGTGCAAACAGGGCTATAAGTTGTGATTGTTAAACTAGCTTTTCACTTTAATTTGTTCTTTTTTTTGGCAAATAATTTGTTCTGTTATGTTCCTTAAATTGCATTTTTAATATTTTTTAGGCACATACGTACTAAATATGGTTTGTACAAACCAATAAAAGGACAACACTTGTTCACGTAAAATTTTTATATAAAGATTTTTTTATTATAAAATCCATTCGAAATGTTTCAATCTAGAAATGTATTCAAAGTGGTTTTCCAATTCACAGATGCATGGTTCTATTTACTGAAACTATTCATCTTCTCAAAGTGTGGTTTTCACAGATAGTTCTATTATACGTACGTATTTATTCAAGGAAAATTTTTTAGAATATGACTAAAACATGTCTACTTTTCCAAAGTATGACTAGAATTTAACATTTCCGGTTATATGACTAGGTATGTGTGCATGCTAGCACGGTGCGGTTATAATTTCAAATTGTAAGACAAAATTGCCCTCCTCAATTAGTCGTAACTGTCAGGCAGAGTCCAAACCCAAAGTAACTTCCTTAGGGAAATTGGCGATTTCTTAGGGATGACCGGAGAGCATTAGTGTTGTACAGAGCAAGAAGGAAACAACTTCCTTTACAAAGAAGACGGCCGAATTCTGTGAGTAGGGACCGAGTGAATCTGTAGTTACTGGACAAGGTTCATGCGGAAGGGATGGACGAGGGCAGTGAAACGATTTTATTTGTAAGGCAGTAGGAAGTGGTGGACATTAATAATTTAATACGAAGGCAGTGAAAAGAGAATATAGGAAAAGGGGCGAGGGCAGTAAAACGCAGTTCGTATTGTGTAGTGCGAAGTACTCATATGCTTTAAGGCAGTATAGTTAGTGAGGACAGTAATTATACTTGGTAAACAAGTAATAAAAATCTTCTATTCACAATATTTTCAATGGTTAGTGCTACTACGTATATTATTATTATATGAAGTATTATAAATAGAAGATCATTATATTATAATGCTTCCATAAATAACGGATCGGAAGTTATTATTCTGGATTGGGACAAAGTTAGTTACCATAATAAACTAACATGGATTCATGACTAAAATGCCCACCCGTAGAAGTAAGATCTAAGCAACCAAAAACTCAAAATGAACGGTCAAGATTAGTTCTCATTTCTTATTGTTCTCATTTGAACCAAAATATATATATATATATGAGTAGTCTTCTTGTCCAGCCGGCCTGACGGGAACCGCCGTCCGGCCGAGGGCATTTCGGGCACTTCCCGATGGAATTTTTTGATGAAATTTTTTGAGCATGTTCTTCATGAAGTCTAGTTTATCCATACCAAATTTCAGCTCAAAATTCGATCGGGAAGGCATTCAAAGAATTTTGTGAAGTTAACTGGGCAGTTTATATGTATGAACTGCCCAGTTAACTTCAAGAAATTATTTGAGTGCCTTCCCGATTGAATTTTTAGCTGAAATTTGGTATGGATAAACTAGACTTCATGAAGAACATGCTCAAAAAATTTCATCAAAAAATTCCACCGGGAAGTGCCCGAAATGCCCTCGGCCGGACGGCGCTTCCCGTCAGGCCGGCTGGACATGAAAAGTTGTCTATATATATATATAGACAAATCTACATGTCAGGCCGGCCTGAAGGGATGCTCCGTCCGGCCGAGCTCGTTTGGGCACCTTCTCGGTGGAATTTTTTGATGAAATTTTTTGAGCATGTTCCTCATCAAGTCTAGTTTGTCCATACCAAATGTCCAAATTTCAGCTCAAAATTCGATCAGGAAGACATTCAAATCATTTTTTGAAGTTGACTGCGTCAAAGTATACATATAAAAACTGCAGTCAACTTCAAAAAATGATTTGAATGCCTTCCCGATCGAATTTTGAGCTGAAATTTGGTATGGACAAACTAGACTTGATGAGGAACATAATTAAAAAATTTCATCAAAAACATCCACCGGGAAGGTGCCCAAACGGACTCGGCCGGACGGAGCATCCTGTCAGGCCGGCCTGACATGAAGATTCCTCTATATATATAAATTCAACTAAAAAAAATCCATATGTGGTAAAAGTTATCTTGATCTAGAAATTTTGGCCATTAGTAACGGAGTAAAAGTTATCTGAAACATCTTCCCCGCCGGCTGCCGCTCTCTCTTTCACTCTCTCCTTCACATAATGGTACCACCAACAAAAACCAATCAATTCAAAAAAATCAGGTTGTCTTCTTCCATCAACCCCTCCTTTATTTGATTCAACTATATCTAAAAAATATAAATAACGACCTCTAAATGACTCAAATGGATGTGCAGCGTGTGCTGGATATTCTTCTTTAAAGGGAGTAGCAAGTGGTATAAAGGAAAAGTCTTGGCTTTGTGTTGGCTCACGAAGCATAGAGCTACGGTATATATAGTGCGCTAATAAAAGGAATATGATATAACTTTTTGGAAATATTATCTGTCTTTTCATTTTCCCATGTATTCTTTTAATACATGTACAATTTAAATGTGTCTTTTACTGTGATCAAGGATTCTGGACAATTCTAGTGTTAGTTCATCGATGGCTTTTATTAATTTTGTTGACTTACTATGTATTTTATATGAATGTCTCAGTTATAAATTAATTAAGAAGTTACTCCTGGAAAACTCACCATATTAAGTTCTAGAATTAACTATTCATTGGCGAAACTTCCTCTGTAAGACTTCTTTTGCTATTATATAGTAATTGATGCATTATTCGTTGCACGATTTACTATGTATTTTATATGAATGTCTCATTTATAAATTAATTAAGAAGTTACTCCTGGAAAACTCACCACATCAAGTTCTAGAATTAACTATTCATTGGCGGAACTTCCTCTATAAGACTTCTTTTGCTATTATATAGTAATTGATTGTTTCTTTGTTGCACAAGTATCCGTGTGGAACACCCCTCCTCACGACCAAACATTTCGTCTGGATTGTGATATCATTCATTTTTTTCATCGATTTGTTATCATCATTTTTTAATAATCGTGTCAATCATTCATTATTAGAGGACCCACATCATGAATCAATTTGGCCCTGATAGCATGTTAAGACTCGGGGCCAGTATGGTTGGAGAATTTCGGAGGGAAGGGAAGGGGAGGAGTCATATTTAAATTTAAAACACTTTTTCCATTTAAAAAAATTCAAATAAAGTGAAGACAAAATAGTATATAAAAATACATGGTTTAACTAATTATATAGTTATTTGGAGCTTAAAACAAAAAATTCAGATAAATTAATAAAATAAAAAATCAATCCTTCCTTCCCTTCCCCCCGAAATCCCACAACCATACTGGCTCTCATAGGCTCATCCTAAAAGGTCAACCTCATATGAGGAGTATCTCAGATCTTAATATAGTTGATATTCGTGTAATTTCCGATTGTATGTTTGTATTTTTAATTAGTTTTTATTAGTTCTAGTTGTGAAAATTACACACTTTTGGTGTACTATTTTATTTTCATTTTTATTTGTAATTTGTTTAGATTAGGATTATTCTGAGCTAAACAGGTCAAAGATCATCCAAGGGATCAAGATTGGACCTTAAAAGATCAAGGAAAGTGCAAGGAGACAAGAAAGATTTTGATTTGGGAAAAATACTCATGTACACGGTCGGGTATTCGATTAATTCGATTGTCCAAATCAAATCCGGGGACAAATGATCGTGGGAGCAAATCTTCGTGCAGATTTGTCACATACCCGATCGGATATGCCCAAAAAAGTGACTTTCTGGGCAATTTCCCAAGATACCCGATCAGATATCCTATATACCCGATCGGGTATCAGACCCTGCAACTCCCAAAAGCCTATAAATACACTCCTTTCCTTCACAATAAAATCACCAATTCACATATACTCTTTAGCTCAGTTTAAATTAGTGTTTTCTTTATATTTTCTATCATGTTTAGTCTCCAAATGAGGAGCTAAACTCTTCCATCTTGGTTTTGCTACTTTGAAGCTTAATGAATTTGTAAGTTGTGAGTTATTCTCTTTAATCTTCTTCCTTGAATATTAATTCTTCTTTTAAGTACTATTTCTATATCAATGTTGGGGAGTGTTACTAAGATGACAATTAATTAACATCTTGACATTAGTTATAGTAATAGTTATTTCTTCCTCTACGTTAATATTGGGGAGTGTTACTAAAATGACAATTAGTTAACATCTTGATATTAACTATAGTAGGATTCATCTTCTTTAATATTCTTCCTTGAGTATTAATTAATTCATATTCATATTTCATATTAATATTTTGAACATTATTTAAAGGATCAACTAGTTTTGTTTCATATATTAATTATTACTACAATCGATCGACGAATACGCTTGTTAATCGTTCAATCGATTCTAGGTCTGCTGTTAACGGGCAAACCTGCTGGTAATCGGCAAAAGAGCCCGATTGGGTCTTTTTTAAGAGTACAATAGTTTAATTGAGTGATTTGAGAGTGCGATGACTTAATTGAGGAATTGGTAAGAGTAGGGACCCTATTTGAGAGTTTTCTCTCTAGCAATTCTGAGAGTAAATTAGAGCTCCAGAAGTGCTTCTGGAATTTCACCCAAACACTCCAGCTTTTGCTTCTGCTCCCTAAAGGAGCAGAATCAGTTTTGAGAATCAGATCCAAACACCCCATAGTGTGTTAGAAAAATAAGACGGGCCGAGTTGTTGGATTGTTAAAAAGGAATGGCCACCGACGAGTCGCGAGCAGTCGCCGGCCGAGTTTGGCACAGACCCACGCTACCTGAAGCAATCAAAGAAGACAACTCTTCCTCGAGTTTAGCTGGTGGATTTCATCTACTCCTTCAAGCTTGATTTTCTACCTTCAATTTCAGCTTCTAAACTTTCATCAGCGGTTTAGTATTCTTCCATGAGTTTCTCCAATTCTTCTAAAACTGAGAGGAATATCACACAATTTTATCCTCTCTTCTTAAAGGCAATGATATTTATTTATTACGTATTTGAATTAGGTTTGGATTTATGAATTACTTCATATGCATTTGTACAAAAAAAGTTAACACAAGGAAAAGGCTTTGAATATGTGTGAACGCAAATTGCGACAAGAGAATGCAAAGATTTAACGAGTTATGGAAGTTTCAATGTGATTTTTGAACTTGACACATCAAATTAAGTCATAGATATTCTTTTCTGTGTTATTCCCATAAAATAATTTCAATTTGGAATTGCAAGATTATGTAAAATCTTTTGATGTAAATTGTTTTATAATTTATCCAAAGAGTAGTACGTAGTACTTGTTTTATAATTTCTCAAGTTAATCTGTTTGAGAAATAGATGCATTCTTTTTAGTTTTGTTGTTCCAATTAAGTCATGTGTTCTTTGTTCAATCTTGAAAAATGGCTTTTTCTCCAGATTTAATGTATTTCAAATGGCCCTTTCTCTGAGAAAGCTTCAACAGACGCTTACAGCTGTACGCCTCTCATTTTCGTGGGCTGAGAGTGATGATAAACTTGTCCGCGTCTTCGCCCGCAGTAGACAGACTTCCGGTATAGGAAGACATGTATCTTACATGCTGCTTGCCCGGCCTCTTTATCACCTGATTTATATCGGTAATCGCAGTTGTATCTATTACAATCATTATAAAGTTCCATTTGATTATGAAAGTGCCTCAGAATCGTATAATTCTATCCATTTTAGTCCAATAGTGAAATTTATGGATCTGAAGTACAGAGGGTTTTGTAGTAGCGCAGATTCTGAATCCGAGTTAAATAATTCTGATGAGGATGGAAGTGAAAATGAAAAGGGACAAAACCCAAGTGAGGTTGATAGGGTGTGTAAGGTGATTGATGAATTGTTCTCACTAGACCGAAACATGGAGGCGGTTTTGGATCAATGTGGGATTAGTTTGACCCATGATTTGGTCACAGGTGTGTTGGAGAGGTTCAAACATGCCAGAAGACCTGCTTTTCGGTTCTTCTGTTGGGCTTCCCAGAGGCCAGGGTATGCTCATGATTCGAAAACGTATAATTCACTGATGGCAATACTCGGAAAGAATAGGCAGTTTGAGACTATGCTTTCAGTTCTTGAAGAAATGGGTGAGAAGGGCTTACTCACTATGGAAACCTTTGTGATCGCAATGAGGACATTTGCCGCTGCAAAAGAGAGGAAGAAAGCTGTCGGGATTTTTGAATTGATGAAAAAGTACAAGTTTGAAGCAGGAGTTGAGACCATCAATTGCTTGCTTGATGCTTTGGGAAGGGCGAAGCTTGCAAAGGAAGCCCATGTTTTATTTGAGAAGTTGGAGCATAGGTTCACACCGAACTTGCAGACATACACAGTATTGCTCAACGGTTGGTGTACGGTCAAGAACTTGATGGAGGCTGGGAAGGTATGGAATGAGATGGTAGACAAGGGTTTCAAGCCCGATATCGTTACACATAGTATAATGCTAGAAGGGTTATTGAGGGGTAACAAAAGGTCCGATGCAATTAAACTCTTTGAGGTCATGAAGTCAAAGGGCCCACCCCCTAATGCAAAAACCTACACAATTTTGATAAGATACCTTTGCAAACATAGGAATATGGACGAGGCGATCAATTACTTCGATGAAATGCTAAGTACGGGATGTGGACCCGATGTTGCGATCTACACATGTTTGATCACGGGGTTTGGCAATATAAAGAAGATGGACAAAGTCTATGGGTTGTTGACGGAGATGCGTGAGAACGGGTGTCCGCCTGATGCCCAATTATACAATGCGTTGATCAAATTGATGACAAACCGGCGAATGCCAGATGACGCAGTGAGGGTATATAAGAAGATGATCCAAAACGGGCTTCAACCTACAATTCACACATATAACATGCTGATGAAATGTTTCTTTATGACAAAGAATCATGACCTTGGGTTTGCAGTCTGGGAGGAGATGAGGTTAAAGGGGTGTTGTCCCGATGTGAACACTTATACTGTTTTCATTGGTGGGCTTATAAGGGAGGGTCGGTCAACTGAGGCCTGTGAATACTTGGAGGAAATGATAGGGAAAGGAATGAGAGCTCCACAACTTGACTACAATAAATTTGTGGCTGATTTTAGCCGAGCTGGTAATCCAGATATATTGGAGGAGTTATCTCAGAGGATGAAAATCCATGGGAAGTTTGAGATATCAAATCTATTTTCAAGATGGGCTGAGATGATGAAGACTAGAGTAAGGAGAAGAACAAACCACCCTATTCACTAACAAATGCCTTGTTAAGTTGTTGTAGAAAGATTCATCCTGAGCTACGACTCATTGTTTGATTTTTACTTCACTTGTATAATGGAGGCAGAACGGGCACGTCATAAGAGGCTGCCCGTTTGATTTTTGGGTGGGGCTGGGAAGGTTTTGGAGGGTTCCCATTTTGTTCTGATAATACAAACCGCCACATTCTCCCATTAATTTTATCTTTGAGAGTGATAAGATTAATTCTTGGTTACCAACTTGTTCTTTGGAGCTGCATCACCAACTTATAGAATTGTTTCAATACTTATTGGTGAGAATGGCAATGAGATGCATTTCTATTATTATTACTATCATCATCATCATCATCATCATCACCTAACTTTAACAAGTATTGTCAATCATGCGCAGTAGTGTGGAATAGCCGAGCGGGCCGCTACCAGGTCTCCGCAGCGAGGTGAGCGAGCGGTTGGTAAGTTGGTTATTGCAGCCATAGCAGATTAGATATTGCCTCAACCCTAATTTCTTTTCTGCACTATGATTAGGTTTTTTGGGGTTAATTGTTGCTCATATGGTATTTTGGGGCTAAAGTTGAGCCCTTTTATAACATGTCAGAAGTCTTCTGCGTTGAAAAAAACTCTATTCAGATGTCAATCTTTTTTGGCAACTCATGAGTGATCCTTCTCGAGCTTTTTGTGACCTCCGGTTACCTTGCCTGAACATGGAGACTAAAAGGAAATATACCAGTTTCTTCTTCTGGCCTGTTTAAGCCCAGTGGTGAGAATCTTAATCCTGTTTGCAGTGTGAAATAGTTTGAAAATCATGACAAGAAGACCGTTGCATGTGGCTTAAGTGAATATGATGATTGATGAATGTCATCCAGGAAATTGTGTTTGATTATATCATCCTTTTAAATTCACTTTTAACATATTTATATATTTTGTTTTAACATTAATGCCTTTTTTTAATTAGTGATTTCAGTAAAACCCGTTTTGTGGCTTATTAAGTATTAACCTGATCACTATCAACTATATTTCCATAACACTAAGTGGCTGCTTACTAATAATGAAGCTTTCTGTTTTTATGGAAAACTGAAAACATGTTTACTAATTCTGTTTTTCAGATTTAGAAATGTCAACACATTTTCTTCACCACTCTACAACAACAACATCCAAGATTCCAAGCCTTAGTCCCAAAAGAGTTTGGGGTCAGCTTCTTCACCACTTCTAAAATAGAAAAACAGTATTCCAAAGTAGAAAAAACAGTTTTCTAAAGTAACATGTTACCTAGAGACCCTAGAGTCATTATGATGGCAACAAATACCACGTTTCAACTAATGATAGTACGTACAACAATAAGTGACCTTATTGCCATTGTTAATGGCAATATGATAAAAGTGTTATTTGCGTATAAATTTTTTACGCCCAAATGTGAAAGCAAAAGAATCTTACAATAAGTATTAGTAGATGCTATTTCTGTGGACGCTAATGAAAAGGTTTTAACGTTTTATTTATTAGTAATAAAACATAAAAAGGAAATGCTAGATAGCTGTTTCCCCAAAGAGGAATTGTGCTCTCTGTGAGATACAAGGGAGGGGACAGTAGAAATCAAATCGACAACAAAGTTGAAGGATTCCGAGGCAATGTATGACTTCTCAGTTAGTGCTGCAATCGGTACTAGGCGAGTTTGGCTTCCCGATTGATCTAGACTTTCTAAGCCAATACCACTTTGTTCTCAATCCGTTCTCCTATTCACTTCCAGCGCACCTTCTTCCGGTATCCCCTTTTTCATATACCATGTTTTTTCAGTTTTTTATGACATGATTTCTATTGCCTTTCGGTTCTTGTTAATCAAATTTTTGGATGGGTGTTTATGCGGCTGAATTGTCATTTGTCAATGGGAAAATGTACAAATATACCCCTCTAGTATGGGTGTGAGAACAAATACACCCATGTTCTATTTTTCGGAACAAATAAACCCCTAAAGTATATGTTGAAGTACATATATACCCCTCATGTAAAACTTTTGAAAAATGCAAAAGTACCCCTCATGTTATAAAGTATGGGGTAGCAAATTTACCCCTATTGACTTTAAATAAATAAAATAAATATAAAAAACATACCAAAAATAAATTATAAATTCGAAATTTAAAAATTAATATTTATTATTAGGTTAAAATATTCACTCTTTAATTGCAAAATTATTATTTTTTTCGTTGTAAATGAATCACTTCAAATTCATTAATTTTAGTTTTAGTCTTGTTACGGAATTTTGTACACGTTACATTTTCTAAAATAACATTCTTTGATTTTGTTTAACCTTAATAAAATTAGATTCACTATATTATAATCTTGGACTATTTATCATCATCCAAAATATGTAATTTTATAGTGCAAAGAATGAAAAAAATTAATATTTTTTTACATTGCAACACATATTTTAACACTTTTTCGAAAGAATCTTAAATATATAATAAAGTTTTGAAATAATATTTTATACTAACAATATTAAATTGTGATATAAAACAATAAAAGGGAGAATTGGACACAAGTATATTTTTTATTTTTTTTATTTTCTAATTTATAATTTATTGGTGTTTTTTGAAGTTTATATTATCAATTTAAAGTCAATAAGGTTAAATTTGCTCTTTTATATGAATATAAAGAGTATTTTTGCACATTTTAAAAGTTTAGGGATACATATGCACTTCCACACATACTTCAGGAGTATATTTGTTTAGAAAAATAGAACATGAGTATATTCGTTCTCACACCCACACTACAGGGGTATATTTGTACCCGTTCCCTTTGCCAATTGTATGTCACAAGGGGTTTCTGGTAATATATTTTTGGATTTTGATTCTTTTCCTATTTTGATATGCCTTATTTGAGAATTCTAGAATTTTTTGTTCCTTTTTAAGGAAGGGGAATATTAATTTGTTCACAGTCAACAGCTGTGTTAAACAGATAGAAAAACTTAACAAGAAGATTTTACCACACTAGTATTGACATTCTCGTACCATCTCGATCCCAAACTGTACCTACTATATGTATTATGTACCGACAGAATATGATATAATATGTGAAATGAAGGTATGCTCTATTATATGTCACAGAAAAGGTCAGTACACAATTCTTGAGATTCATATTTATTCCTGATAATAATTTTACCTAAAACCATATTCTTTCCTAATTGGTTGTCTTGTTCTCGTATTGCAGGGATTTCCAACGGAAGCACAACCATCTAAACTTGCAACTAGCAAAGGCTCTGCAAATAGATACTTTTATTTAGATAAATTGGCCGAGGGACTGAGGGTTGACTTGTTTGATAACTTTTGATGGTTTACTCGTTCGTCACTTTCTCATTATATTAGTATGGGCTGTGGTTGTAGCTTTTCCCTTTCATCAAACTCAGCTCACTGCAGTAAATTTCAAACTTGATTCGCCGGAGCCTGGGGGGTAGAACTGCTATCTTGTGAGATTCATTTCATTTTCTTGATGCATTTATTTACTTTTCTCAAATGTCCTCTTATGTTTAGGCTGAGGAGCTAAACAAGGAGATATTTGATAACTGTCACTCAAATTCCAAATTAGATCAAATGAATCTAAAAGTAATTTTCTGGATCCATTTTTTTGTACATATTGTTCTCTTATCTCTTATTTGTACATAGCTTCTCGTATTACAAATTTGTGTTTGTTAGTTACTTGGATTCTTAATTATATGCAAATTAACTCTTCAAATGTAATTAATTAATCTCTACAAATAGCACACCTGCAAAATAGTACAACGCTACTATTTTTGAACAAATTGTACAGCTGCAAAATATCAAGGGTAGGGGTGGACTCGGGCCGGTTCGGGCCCGGCCGGGCCTCGGGCCAGAAAACTAGGGCCCGAGCCGAACCGCCGGTGGCCGGTTCTGGGCCAAACCGGGCCGGGCCGGGCCGAACCGGTCCATTTTTTTTTTTTGGTTCTCCTATTTAACCCCCTACCCCTCCCCCTCAACCCCAAACCACCTCAAATGGCCCAAAATACCTAATCCAACCCAAAACTTAAAAAAATTTCAAAAAAAAATAAAAAAAAAAAATAAAATCCGGCCCGGACCGGGCCCGAACCGGCCGGGCCGGTTCACCAAAAGCAGGGCCCGAGCCCGGACCGCCCATCACCCGGGCCGGGCCAAACCGAACCGCTGGACCCACCGGGCCCCGGGCCGGGCCGGGCCAAACAGTAACCGGGCCGGTTCCGGGTCGGGCCGCCCGGCCCGAGTCCACCACTAATCAAGGGATGATTGCCTAATTTCTAAAACAAGACGGTATTTACGCTAAAAGTGCTCGTTTAGGCTGAAACGCTAAATCTAAGGGTGGTTCGGTACGGTATACCGAATATTTTCTCTCATACCTTTGCCGTACCGAAACTTTCGGTATACAAAATTTATATACCGTTACTATACCGAAGTTTCGGTATACCGCATTTCGGTATACCGAAGTTTCGGTTCGGTAACGGTACGGTATCGGTAAATTACCATGTGATAGAGTATATGGGCCTGGACCCCATGGCCCATATACTCAACGGCCCAAAGAACACCAGCAGGACACCCGCATCGGCCACAAGCGTGCGACGTCCAAGAGAGAAGACATCACCCGGGTTCTTTGGGGGGAAGCCCAGAATCCGCGTCATCCATGGACGGCATCGTCCATGGACCACGTCGTCCATGGACCGCATCGTCCATGGACCGCATCGTCCATGGACCGCATCGTCCGGACTTCGTCCGGGCAGAATGTATTTTCCTATTTTTTGTACTAAGTGTTGTACTCAGCCCATTAGTGGCCTTATTCGCCCAAAGATGGCATGATTATTGTAATGGGCCTCCTAAGCCCAAGGCTAGGGGCCCAAATCCACATTTTTACCTATAAATAGACCCCAAGGGGCTAATTATAGGGGGTTCCAAGTTGAGAAATATAATTACTCACTTTCTCTCTCTAGCTCTCACTTCTCTCTAGAATTAATACACTATCACCATGAATGTCTCCCAATATAATAAATTATCATAGACTAATGAAATATACTAAATCGTTGTTACTAGCGACATATTTAATCTAATATTAAAATGTTACAAAATACAATTAATAATCTATTGATGTCAATTCAATATTGAGCAATAATTATCATTAGTATATTTAAGTAGTTTAACATGCCAGTATGTCACGTATTAATAAATAACACATTCTCCTAAAATAACTAGAACAATATAGATATAATTAAATCAATAGTGATCTCTAGCAAAAATAAATAAAATTATTCAAACAACATTGATATAAATGAAATCATTTATTCCTAATATGGTATTATGCATTTATGGTATTATGCATTTAGTCATTTTTATAATTTTTTTAAAAAAATATTTGATAAGACTTTCAGACACAGTTGTGTGTCTCGACATTAGTATATTACTTATTAGTCATCAGTTTGTTTGAATGTTATGTAGTAGAAGCCTAAAACGTTATAGTGAGTTTAGGAAATTGCACTTTTATTTTTGTATTTTGGTATTTGTAACCAACTTAAGTATTAATTTTGGACTTCAAAATTGTAATGGATTTTTACAATATTTTAGAATTAAAAGTAATTATTGGGTAGGGAGTCGGTACGGTATTATACCGGTATACCGCGGTATTTGAAAACATTTACCGTTACCGTACCAAAATAAATCGGTACGGTATGATACCGTACCGAAAATGATGGTATACCAATATTCCGGTATTTTCCGGTATTTTTCGGTACGGTAAGTGCGGTATACCGATATTTCAGTATTTTTGCCCAGCCCTAGCTAAATCACAGAGATGAGCATATTATATCTTGTCCATCTAAAATTAGTGTCACACTAATTTGTGACACTCATATCTTGTTGTATGTTCTTCTGTTTAGAGCGTATTATATCTCGTTGGAAAGATAATTTTGAGTTCTAAAGCTAATGTTCCAACTTCATTTACAATGCATTAAGTAAAATGTACATATTAACCATAAATTCACAAATATTTCAGATTTCACTCCTAACTCGTGTAGAATTTGATCTGATCATATCTTGCTCTATTTTGTTCCGTTGAAGGCGTTTTCTATCTCGTTGCAAAGATCTTATCGAGCTCTAAAACTCGTCTTCAACGTTACTATTTTTATAATATAATAAATCAGAGAAATCAAATTGTACGGTTTTTTTTATATTCATGGGGGCCGAAATATTTCTTGGGGGGGGGGGGGGGGGGGGGGGGGGCGTGGCTCCCTGAGTCCCTACTAAGGCCCGCCCCTGAGTCACAACGTTTAGTGAATTACTTAAATAAGATAAAAATGGCCAAAAAGTACAAATAGGACTACATGTTTTAAATTTCTCCCAGTAGGACTATTTATGTGTGTTTGGACAAATATACCCTTGTAGATTTTGAAATGTTTTAATTAATAATTAAATTGTACAAAAACAATAAAATCGTAAAAAACAACAAATCGTAAAAAAAAAAAACATAAAACAAAACACCGCCGCCTCTGCCACCACCAGCTCCCATCACCTGAGGAAATATGCCGAATTTTTTAGTAATGCCATAATAATGAAAGATTCAATGAAAATATTGGCATTATGAAGAGTAATAACTCCATTTTCTTAGAATTTTCAAAAAAAGTGACACTTTTTACACAAAATGGTTGAATTCTCACTGATCGGAGGTGGTGGTGCTGCGAGGCGGTGGGAAAGGTATCCATTATTTATTTATTTTTTATGGATTTTTACTAAGTTTTATTAATTAATTTTTTTTTTGATTTTATAAATACTTTATTATTATTTTTACGTTTTTAATTATTTGTTATGATTTGTTTTTGCGATTTTATTATAAATTAAAACGTTTCATTATGAATTAATACCCTTAGGAGTATTTAGGGAAAAAATCAATGTTTAGTCCTATTGGGGGATTTAAAAAATAGTAGTCCTATTTGTGTTTTTTAGGAAAATTTTAATCCTACTTAGGACAATTTCTATTTAATTTATTACTCCATATTATACAGTGGCGTTGACTCTACGATCGAGTGAAAAACCAGCTTAATCAATAAGCGTGTGTTTTAATATAATCTACTCTCTATCCCTTAAAATTTTGTCAAGTTTAACCGGTACAGAAATTAATAGAGTACAAACTATGCATGTGATTGAGAATTGAGTGGAAAAAATGCAATTAACTGGAATTACAAACTCTTTATGCAGAGGAAATGGAAAATCAACAGGACAATTAAACAAGAAATTTTTGACAAATTTTTAAGGAATGGAGGCCATATAAAGAATTTTAAATTGTTTACAGATGTATAATCAAATCAAACGCAGACTATCCAATCTCAACCCTTGACTATGAAGCACATATACTTCACTAGGGTACTGTATCAGCGTATCGGAAAAGTTCATGTATTCGATACTCTAGGATACCCGTACCGTACATTTTCGGGCTGCATCTGCAACTTTTAAAAGTTTCCATTATTTTGGTAATTAGTTTAAAATTTTGGATACTCGTATCCTGACGGATACACGTATCAACTTAAAAAAAACACCCTAATTTACATAATAAAGTTTTTAAAAAATGAAAAACTAAAAATAATTTTTACCTTGCTTTTATGTGGTACACAACTAATGCATGAGTCTATTCTAAATTCACTCATCTCTAATTTACTCATCCTCCTATCCCCAATTCTAATCATCATTGGAAATTAATAGCTCCAGCTGAAATATGTATAAGAACTTTTAAAATATTGTTTTTTATCTTCATTATTATAGAACTTTTAATTGCAAACCTGTAGTTGTTTGAGTAATTTCTCACTTCAATTAATGACTTATTGCCTATATTTACTTAGTGCATATGAGAATAAATATGAATTTATTTCCAAGTATTTTGAAAATGTAAAATGCTTCAATGCTTCAAAAAGGTAGTATTTTTAATATTTATAAATACATCCCTATAACTTTTAATATTTATAAATACACCCCCATACCTTTTAATATTTATAAGGGATAAGGGTCAGATAGGGCCTCGAACTTGGAAAAAAATGTCAAATAAGGTCATATTTAGGATGATATGTCCGGTTGACGCCATTTGGGGTGGTTCCCGGTGGAATTTTTTGATGAATTTTTTTGAGAATCTTATTCATTAAGTCTAGTTTACTCATATCAAATTTGAACTAACAATTCAATCGGGAAGGCATTCAAATGAATTCTTGAAGATAACTGCGCTTTTAACTGCACAGTTATCTTCAAGAATTCATTTGAATGTCTTCCCGGTTGAAGTTTTAGTTCAAATTTGATATGAGTAAACTAGACTTGATGAATAAGATTCTCAAAAAATTTCATCAAAAAATTCCATCGGGAACCGCCCCAAATGACGTCGGCCGGACAGAGCATCCTAAATATGATCTTATTTGACATTTTTTTTCAAGTTCGAAGCCCTATCTGACCCTTATCCCTATTTATAAATATGGCCCCATATCCGTATCATGCTTTTGTTTTGTTTTGTCGTATCCGTTTCCGCGTTTTCGTGTTTCCGCGTACCTGTATCGGTGCTACATAGGTAATAATCGAAGTGTGGAACAAAAGAAACCAAAAGTGGAAAAGATAAGAAAGAGAATACATACGTAGGGCT